GTATTGAAACAGAAAAAGAGCCACTCACGCCACTCCGATTATCTTAAAGTTTGTATTGGACCTGGCAAGGGAAAATGCGCTCAATACAATTTTCAAGTCAAAATTGCTCTTATGTAGCATAATGCAGTTTATCAAAAATGCCTAAACAGCATTATGCAGCACGTCGGGATGGAGGGGTTAGAGCATCCTCACTCGAGCGTGTCATTGCTAATCAAGAAAATATTTTTCCGTAACGAATGCTAAAAATAGCTCACACCATCCCAGTGGGTGCTCTATTGCTACCTAAATTTATAAATTTCAAGCAGGTGGGCTATTCCAAATATGAATAGAGCGCGGGATCTATTGCAACAGCCGCATTCGGCAACGGACTACCAGAGCACAAATCCACCATTCTACAATGGGACGCGGGCGCAAATGGGAGACGCAGCAAGATGAAGCGCTAGTTCGCGCCTATTTAGACCTCTCTCAAAACGCCATTCAAGGTGCAGAGCAGAAGGCAGCGTCCTTCTAGGATTCAATTTTCAATCGATTTAATAGCGCAACAAAGCCGAAGAAGGAGGAAGTTCGTACTGCGTAAGCGCTTCGCAATCGATGGTCTAGTATTTCTCACGACGTGGCCAAATTTGTGGGGTGGTATAGTGTTATTAAGGCCCACAATGAGCCAGGCAAGAGTGCGGATGACGTAATGAAAGACACCCGAATACTATTCAGAGAGCAACAAGGATCCGAGTTTTCTTTCGAGAGTTGTTGGTTGATTCTGCAGAAATGCCCGAAGTTCATGGATGGGATTAGAACCCGTGGGTCTGGATCTAACGCTGGTGTGGCTGGTGAAGTAGAGAAGGAGAGGCCAAAAGGACGAAAGAAAGCTAAGACTGATCTAGCCGCGGAAATCGAGGATTTTAAAATACTGAAGCAACTCGTGGATGACAATAAAGAGCGAAACTCTGTACTCTTTGAGCAAATGAAGCGCAAGAACGACTTGATTGAGGAGCAGCTTACAATGGACCTGTTTAAGACAGACCCGAATTCTGAAGAATCCAAAACCCTTTTCAGTTTCATGCGCAAGAAGCGTCTAGCTTCTATCATGAATGGAGAGGCAGCTCGAGAACTAGGAACATCGATCAATGGTCGAGATAGAGACGTGCAAGACAAACGTCAAAACTCACCTGCTCCAGGTGCCGATGTAGCTATACCTGTCAATGGTACGGTTGGAAATGATGCTGGTTCGATCAAGGATGTAGTAGCTCGTCCCGCCATTTAAGACGATCTATGAGCACGATCATTGAATTGCTTTAATCTTAACAAACAAATTACCACAAAAACAATCTTCGAGTCTTCGCCATTCTCAAAGTTAAAAAAATAAAAGTAGCAAAGCATATCCATTAATAATCTGAGCTGTGTTAATGTGTACCATTCCAACTCCAGAAATGTCTGCAAAGTACCTCTCGCATGACCAAGGATGCACTGTTGTCGGGAAGAACTTTAAAGCGCTTGCATATATCCATAATTGAACCCGCCAAACATTCATCGGCTGATGCAGACACGTGTACGGGTTCGAGGGGTTGATGCTCTGCGGCTGTATTCAAAGTTTCTGTACCGTACTGATCAGGAAGTAGTCAGGCACGTTTTCTCCTCGCAGCTCGATCACCATGTTATGTAGAATGCCGCAGCAGTAAATAACGTACTTCATTTGATCCTCGTACCACAAGCGAGACGGTACGGCAAGGACACCAAAACGGGACTTTAATATTCAAAATGCACATTCAACATCTTTTCTGATAGCCATGTGGGCTTTTGTAAAAGCCTTCTTGCTTCTTTCTTCAGACTCCGTATACGCCGATATGAATGTACTCCATGCCGGGTAAATACCGTCCACAAAATAGTATGGTGTTTCGTAGTCTACACCATCAATTTCATAGTGGACACACGGCTGAGTATCATTCAGAAAACTATGCAGTAAAGGAGAACGGTCCAGAATGTTTAAGTCGTTGTTTGATCCCGGAATACCGAAAAAGCATGCCATATCCATCGATCTGCAGTGGCAATGGCTTCAAGAACGAAAGTAGGAGCTCCTTTTCCACGATAGTGTCCGTGCCAAGCTGTCGGACAATTCTTCCATCGCCAGTGAGTGCAGTCCAGAGATCCCAGCAAACCCGGCATGCCACGACTCCCATTAAAGCGCAGGATCTTCCTAACGTCATCTGCTGTTGGCCCCCGCAGGTACACTTTACCATATATGTATACCACAGTCTTACAGAAAGCATGAAAGCTCTTCATCACAGTAGTCTCTACTATTCGACAATATTCGCCCTGTCCATCAGCAGAGATGCCGCTTACTAACATGCGTAGAGCTGCAGTCATTTTCTGCTGTGGAGATGCCCCCATCTTGCCAACAGCATCAGGTTTCCTTGCAAAATAAGAATTCGCTTCCGTAATCTCGACCAATAGCCGCCGAAAGAGTACTAAAGGGAGCCCGTAGCGTCGCTGGAACAGGGTTTCGTCGTAGACCGGATTAGGACCGAGGTAGTCCCGCATTATTGATTCGTGACCGAGTAGAATGCTCCGTTCACGTGTTTTCATCCTTCCGGGGACTGAGCCCCGGCGTGGCCGGCCTCTTCATCTTTTAGAACGGCGACGTATAATCAGACTTAGAGTGATCTCGGCGTCAAAGCCATCAAGAACATCGATGATGTTGTCATCGTCGTCGTGGCGTAGCAGCGCTTGAAGTTCCATCTATGCTGGATAGCGACCAGGCGAGTGGTCATAGGCAGAAGTATTTGTATTTCTATTTTTGAGTAGCCAATCAAAATAGATTTAAACTCGTGATTAGAAATAGGTTTGCCAATGCGACTGGAGATATTCCAGACCAAGCTCTCTATTTTTAACTCTAGATACTCTAACTAAATTATCTTATTTTTAGTAAACATGATAAATCACAGTTTTAGAACGAAAACGATGGACGTGCTGCTCAACATTGAGCAGCAACTTGCGCGCGTGATAGACGCAATAGCTGTCCCCGGAACTACTCATGCGTCGCAAGTGCCATCGCCAAGTACTATGACTCCTGTGCTTATCCACATTGAGCAGCTACTGGACAAAATCCGCTCTGCAACTCGCGCCATCGTCGCTGAAGCCTCGCAGCAAAGAACAGAAGACTTGACAGCCACAAAAGCCGCAGAATTCGACGATTTCCGTATTAAATTGGAGACTGAAGATATAGTGGACTACGAATCTGAAACGGAGACGGAGGATGAAGCTCCTGTCGAGCAGGAGAAAGAGAAAGGAGACGAACACAAACGCGTGAGTGGACTAATAGGAGTGAAGCGATCGAGAGAGAATGAGGAGGAAAAAGAACAAGAACCGGCTCTAAAGCGCCAGGAACGGGCTTCGACTTCCAAATCGAATACTGAGAATCGTCTTGGTGATAATCTCGCTAGGCTTCTCCAACAAGCCAGGAAGTGTTTGGAGCTAAGTGAAGAAGCTGCACTTCAGACAGTGTGGAAGGCAATTACTAAGCTCATGCATCTGAGCTCGTTGTCCTTGAACGGAATGGTTAGTTTGATACAAGACGGAGGTGCTATTAGTGAAGCAATTGCAGTTGGGTTTTTCGGGATGCAGTACTGCTACTACCCTCTATCATCGAACGTCATCAGAAGAAGAGAAAAGTAAGTCAGAGCTGGATCGCGGGCATCTCAAAAAGTATTGCTGAGGTAGTTGCACATGCGAAAGATAATTCGGATGTGCCGGCATGTCTTGCTGACCCACAATTAGAGGCTACGTCTCAAAACCTGACTGAAATTCGGGATTCCTCGGGACCAGATTTACTACGCAAAATGGGAAACCTTATCTACCATTTGACTCGTAAGGACGTGTTGGAACCAGATCGAATGGAAAAACCTCTTGGGAAATTAGCCAGTATCTTTCGTAAGGACATGCAAACGTGCAAGAAGAAGAAGACTCCACGGACAGACGAAGACTGGGGTCGATTCTATAGAATCGCCGAGATTTTGGCGGAATGGATACGACTGGCTGAACGCGCTAGTGAACCACCGGAGCTACGGCCACATTTACGTCGCTTCGACCGCCAGATTAAAGGCTTTGTAAAAAAGAATCCTGGACGAATACCTCCTACACTGTTGGAGTACGTGAGATTGAGGGTTTGCTATAATTGCAGGTGGTAACGCTGATGTGTTTTTCTGTTTGCTTTTGTGAAACAGAGGTTCTGTTATCTTGGTAGGGTTTGCTACTCCGACAAATGTAAATAAGGAAGAAGAGGTTGGTTCGAGGTAGACTAAACGCCAAGCAAGGTAGAGGTCAGAGAACTTCTTCAGTATTTTTCGACCAGCAAGCATATCATTGACGTACGGGTCCATGTCACTAGGACATTGTTACCGAGAAGATACTCTAGTAACTTACAATGTATTTTGAACCAAAAAAATAGCAACTATTTTAAATTTTTTTTAATCCAGTCCTATTTCAATAGCTTCTTTTGTTATTCTTTGTTTAGACGATCTATAAATATAAAATATTTATAAAAATATAGATATATTGGGAGGAGGGTAGAAGTTTCTCCTTTGTAAAATGACCACCTCGCGGATCTCTAAATTGCTGAGGTGTAAGACTGTTCATGCCGAGTCAAAGACAGACGCCTTCTAAGTGACGCGTCACGAAAGGCCATCGCTGCGAGAACTCAAGACGGCGCTTCTCCGTCAGTTACGGTGCAAGTGTACCGTAGGTAATCTTCATTCTGGGTACAGAGTTCAGAAACGCAAACAAACTTTTTGAATGATTTTTTTTCGGAAGTTCCGTGTCTGTAGAAATGAAGATGCCGTAAAAGAAAGGGTTCCGATCTGCAACTGCTTGAAGAACGTGGCCAGTCGTCTTTGTCTCTTCTCTCTCTCTTCCGTCCCTGTCGATCGGAGGCTCTTTGGATGGTGAAGATCACATCATTCCGCAATTCGCTTCCTCCAGCACCAACCAAGATTTCGTGATCAGCAGCAATGCGTCTCCCCAGTCTTCGTTGCTTGGCGAGTGCGTTACTGGTCTTCAACTCCATTGTCGATGCCCAAACGTACGATGCCATTGTCGTGGGTAGTGGCCCTGGCGGTCTCGTAGCTGCCGAGTATTTGTCACGAGACTCAAGTGTCTCCGTGTTGATCCTCGAAGCCGGGCCCAGATCTTTGGCTGCTACTGGTGGAACGGACTCCCCGGACTACGCTCAAGGCCGAGGTCTCACGAAATTCGACATCCCCGGTGAATACGACAGTGTCATTTACAACGGAGCCAACGAACAGTACCGTGTCGAGTGGATCAGTGACGCCTACATGTGGCTCGGTAAGCTCGTGGGTGGATGCTCCTCCATCAACGCAGCGCTCTACTTCCGACCCCCCGACTCGTACATCACCAACACGCAGTGGCCGTTCTCAGCAGCTCAAATGGTCTCCAAGATGAACGAGAACGAGCAAATTCATGGCCACACGGACAGACCGTCAAGTGACGGTATCTGGTACACTCAAGAAGGGTATTCCATCGTATCCAGAGCTCTACTAGCAAGGGGGTACGCTGAACGCACCATCAACGACGCTGCAGCACGCAATAGCAAGAGCAAGACGTTCGGTCATGCTCCATTCACCTTTAAGAACGGCAAACGAGACACCCCCGCCAATGCCTTCTGGGGACGAATGAGCAGTAGGAGCAACGTGAGGCTACTCACTGGAGCCAAGGTCGACTACATCTTACGAGCTTCTGGGGGTAAGGCTACGGGTGTCGTCTACAACGGCGGAACTCAAGCTCTACTGTCGTCTCGAGGTACTGTACTTATGGCTGCGGGTGCGTTGAGTACGACCAAAGTATTGATTCAAAGCGGCATCGGCCCGAGCTCGCAGCTTAATGTGCTTAATGGCCGCAATGGGTTCCCTGGCGTCTCTCAAGCTGCAGGATGGGTCACGAACGCCAACGTCGGGCGGAATCTGTTCGACACCAACGTGGTGTTTGCCTCATTCTCACACCCTCAGATGAGCTCCTTCCTGTACAAGAACAAACCCAGTTGGGCGATCAATCAGTACATGAACCAAGGCTTCACTGGACCCTGGAGTAGTCCCGGACCAACCCTTATCAGCTACGAGAACTACGACGTTCAAGGACGCACGTACGAGTTCCAGTCGACTGCACTTACGAATGGCTTTGGAGAGTTCTACGGTCGTAGTAATGCATTCACTCTAGCACTATACATTAACAATCCGGAGTCCAGAGCAGCTTCGGGGTTCGATGGGAACACCAACTGGAGGGCGTTCAACGAAGGTACGCCCTACTACGGTACGAGTCGCGATCTGGCCGCGTTGCAGTCATATGCACAACGTACAGTTAGTGCCATGGTAGCTCAAGGAGCCACGTTCCTTTCGGCTGGTTCGGACGATATATCGGTAGCAAACTGGGTTGCAGCCAACCGGGGATTAATCACACACCACTTCGGTGGTAGCTGCTACGCATCCAGCAACTCAGGCGACACTAGGCGATGCGCTGACGAGAGACTACGTGTCCTTGGTATGAGCAACGTGTTCGTAGCTGATGCTAGTGCCATGCGCGACGGTACCGTCAACCCGTACGGCTTCATCATGTACATTGGTCGAGAGGCTGCCGATCAAGCCAAGACTTTTATTACTGCGAACACCGGTACCGGCGGCACCTGCTCAACAGCAGAGAATAATGTCGATTACATCGGCAATGATCTGACGAGTAGAACGAGTTCGACTGCCAGTGGGTGCTGCTCTATATGCTCTACTACTAGTGGCTGTAACGCGTACTCGTGGACCAATTACAACGGCGGTACGTGCTGGCTAAAGAGCGCGAGGGGCACGACACAGAGTAAGAGTGGTGTTATATCTGCTACGTTGAATGGTGGCCCTACGTCGAGCTGTACGACGATCGAAGAAAACGTCGACTATACCGGTAATGACGTCGGCAATGCACTGAGTGGCTCAGCCGAAGGTTGTTGCGCGATCTGCCGGGCTCGAAATGATTGCAAGGCGTACACTTGGACGGATCACAATACCGGTACCTGCTGGCTCAAGAGTGGGAAGGGAGCCTTTACGACGAAGACTGGAGCGAGGTCAGCTCGAGTCAGCTCGACGTCACCTACGTGCACGTTGGTGAATAACGTCGACTACAATGGCAACGACATCGGCAACTCGCCCAGCGCTGCGGCGACTGGATGTTGCGATATTTGCCGTGGAAGAACGGGGTGCAGGGTGTTCACTTGGTCGAACTATAACGGAGGCACCTGCTGGCTAAAATCACAGCAAGGACCCGGAACGACGGTCGCGGGTGCCGTATCTGGAACCATCTAAGCTCATGTTCATTTCTGCACTAACTCAACAAAGAAGTTTTAACGTCTTAACTATGATTTGAGTATTACACTGTTCGATTTCGCAGTTGACTGAGTGAAGCACAACGTTTCGATTTTCGTCGGATGTATCCATCCGCATTATTGAGTATTCTTGTAATGGGGGTACGCTAAAACTTGTGGCATTACCGTTTGTGATTGCTTGTAGCTCTGTGCAGTATGTTGACCCACCCATTAGTAGAGGACGCGGCATTCCCAACTTGCTCTCCCCTAGCGGATACCAAAAGAATGATGTTTGTGGCGGTGATGTAGATAAATGATAGCATCGGCGATACGTTCGTCTCGTCGATAAGTGTGCTTCCAATACCAAGGTAAAACATGTCAGGAGCTTCGAATATCTCCGGTAGCTCTGTAATAGGGCTACCCGTCACCAGGCAATGGAAAAAATAAATTGATCTATCCGCCGGATATGTATTGCAATTAAAAGGAGAGATTGCATGAGGGCTAGATATTGTAATACCCAATTGGAGGGAAACCTGCAGTACCCAACTGCTGCACTGATCTTCATAAATGGTTGCTATTATCCTCGCTTATCAGCATGCGGCTATCTGATAGCCTTGGCTACACTGCATTTGTCGTCCTTCATCGCGGCGCAGTTTGGGCTTTGACAGGGCTATCTGTAGTAGGATGGCGAGGGTTAACAGGCGTAAGGACTGTTTTAGCGGATTGGAGAATGAAGTAGAAGCGTGGTCCGGAGTAGATGCCGCGAGATGATTTGCCACAACTACTCTGCCAACGCTACACCTGCTATAATACATTTAGGCGGAAGACGTTATAAAAATATCGAAAGTTACATGCACGTTGAAGTGAAGTATTGCTATATTAAAAACATGGTCCATGCGGATTGCAATACTTAATTGCACTAACTGCAATGTAAACTGCAATAGGGAATAACAAAAATCGATTCAAATTTCCTTTCTTGCCCGTCACTGACAGATAATACGGATCTATGTACAGTAGATTTATTATGTGAGTTGGCTGTGTACTCGATATAAATCATTGCAATTATCCAAATGGGGTCTAAATGCTTTCGTAAATTTAAAACATCATAGCGCACAGTTTATCAGAGAAGTCAGGATCCTATTGACCTGAAAAGAGGACGCCGTCCATCATGTTAGCGTTGTATCCAATGGTTACTATTAATAAATACACTGCAAAGATGATAATCCACCACCCAACGCTAAAGCTTCAATGTCCCAGCCCGACAAACTACGAGGAGGATGTCGATGGCTTCACCTTTCTAGCTATGACGCAGCGCTCCACTTCGCTCAAGCTCGTGGACGTTCCGTACCTCGACAGCTACTACAGTAGTATTTGTGAAGTAAACGACCAACGTGAACTAAAGTTCGGATGTCAAGAGTCCAAGAGTGGACCGAAAATGTATTGAGTATCAAAATTGTGGCACCTACCCAAAACTTTGTTATCTAAGAACCTTACTTCGCCGATGCTTTCTCTTTCGTCGATCGGTATTGTTGTTGAGATATACGCAACTTCATCCCAGCATTCCTAAAAAGCACAAAGAACACAGTTAAAAATAAAAAATATTCAGAAATTGAAAAAGCGTATCTACAGTACCTCAGCAAAATGATTGGAACTCGGTCGGGAAACTCCTTGTTAAACTTCTTGGCCACACGAAGCATTCCCTTGAGTTGCCTAGGCGGTGATGCCGTCATCTTTGTGCACCCGATCCACTTTGCCAGAGCTTCTGCCACTTTCTGAAACACTTCCCAACGCTCTTCAGACCTCGGAGGCAAGTCGATCTTTTGGTAATTTTTGTACTTGTTCATTTCCTGCTGAAAGTCGACAATTAACTTTTTCATCGGGCCTTCGATACGCTCCGCCGTCACTGCGCCCTTTTGTCGTTGAATAGTATGCACATACTTTTCCATTTTGGTCAGCTGGTCTTCCAAGTGGTTCTCGGCGTATTTCTTGAGTTTGAGACGGGTAGATCCCAAGACGGCGTCAGACAACGCTGCTGGGATCCCCGTGAGGGTATCAGCCAACTCTAGTACTTTACCTAGTTTACTAACCAGGTGGACCACGCACATAACGTTATCACGGTTATTCCCAGCACGACCTCCTTCTGCGAAGATTGTAGCCATTTTCCCGGCTGTGTCACGGAACAGACACGCGCTAGCTTCATCGATTGGAATTTTACTCTCCATTAACTGGAAAAGGTTCTCCGTCACCTTACGGCACGGTACGATGGCAGCTTGAGCCTTTCTATATTTTTGACCACGATCCAGAGCGGCGGAAGCATCCCCCGTCTTCAGCACGAAGTGTTGGAGGTTTGCCGCTACTTCCTCGGGCGTCGGAGGCGGCTTACGAGTCTGCTTAGCGTCTTCTTGCTCGGTATTCGCGTGTGCGGCTTCATCTTCTGTCTCCGTCTCTACATCCATGAGATCGATCGTCTCAGTTGTAGCTTGTGGAGCTTCTGCAGACGCAGCAACATGCTTGTGGCGAGTTTGTGTCACAATTGTGGCGACCAGAGTCTGTAACTCGACCTCTAGGCTCTCAATTTCCGCTGCCAGTGTGTGGGAGCGCTCCACTGCTTCTTGGGGGGATGGTGAGGAGGTATCATGAGAAACAACTTCGAGGTGGCGCTGGGCCGCTTCGATAGCAACCGATAGCTGCTCTCGGACAGCTTGAAGCGTGGCCAACGACATTATTCAGGAATGGTACAGCATTTTGTCACTCACAAATCACTAATTTGACTGAAAGTACCATGGATGATGCTAAAATACGCCCATTTCAAGCAGATCCTAAAATTTTGCTGTTGAGTTTAGGTGCTAGCGGATGCGCCCGAATAAAAGCCCCCTATCGAATAGTGTCCCGTGGAATGCTATTAAAATACATGCCTGCACTATTAAATACAAGTCCTTAACCCCAACAATTTTTACCCATAAAATGAGGATCAATTTTGTTTTTCATTTTTTCTATCAGAGCATTTTTTATCCTTAACCCATCTCGTTTAGGATAAAAAAAAGAGTGTTGGTCGGTTCAAGACACCAGCGCAACTCGTCGGCTCACCCCCCGCGCCGCGCTTGAAGCCATGTCAGACAGCGAGTCATCCGTAGACGATGTCTGCTGGTCAGACACTGACTCTGACGACGAAGACGCAACCACAGGAGCCTGGAGGTACATTGATTGCAGCCACGGTCAAGTACTGTTGGACGACGTGGAAACACTCCTGCTGGAGAAGGCGCGAGTGGAAGAGCACCAGGTTGTTAAGCGACTTCTACAGCGAATGTTTGGTACTACGCAGCACAACGCAACAAGCATCAGTATATCGCGGATTCTGTTCACGTGACCGTTCTTTCAAAGTTACAGCAGTTTGTGAACGCGCGCTTGGATGAAGCTGTGCCAGTCACCGTTGACGAGTTCTTCGCGTTTATGGAAGTGGAGCTCTGGCTAAGCTTCTATCATGTGACCCCGTCGTTCTTTTTCGACAACGCGAATAGAAAGCAGTATCCATCAGCTACGTCCTGCATGGCGTTTGACAGATATCGCTCTATTCTGGCAGCGTTGAACACAGCATGCAAACCGGAAACTGATGACTTGAATCAATGGGCAGCTCCATTTAGCCCGGATCGTGATACGACGTATGCCGCTGAGCTCATTAGGCGACTGTGTGCCGATATTGGTTTTGTTCATGGTACGAATATTGCATCTCGAGACGACGATCTGATACGACTACGCTCTGCGAGCGTTGATGATGTTGGGCTAGCTCATATCCGCAATCCAAAAAAGGGGTAATGTAATTCATAAGCGCTTTGAATTGTTATTGGTGCTCATGAGAAATATGCACGAGTAGATATGCCCCCGTCCAACATGGCGTAGTTTCGCTGGCTACAGGTATTTTTCTTGGAGGTCATGTAGCAGCACGAGGGAAGTCTACTGTGGATATTGTGCGTATCCTTCAGCGCTCTTTGTGTGGAGCGTCGACAGAGAGTCAAATTCGTTTGCCGGGAATTATTCACGCTCTGGATAGAGGCTACCAGTCGGAGGCAGTCAATCAACAAATAACTGACGTTGGTGGCAGCATTATTGGTACACACAAGCGCTCTGAAGAGATCCCCGTTTACCTTTGAAAAACCTCCAAGTCAGTACTAACAAGCACTAAGTGAGAAGGGTGAACGAGCAGCTTACTGGGTAAGCAAGCGGCTTCCTATCAACCCGGGCACATTACATGTGCATGCTCCTTGCACTCGCGTATCGTTCCGGTCTCGGCAAAGTGGTCTTGTGTTTCACAACAGCGTCTAATGCTGGCCCTGAATATTGGACCTACGTGACTCGTCCTACTCCGCGCTGTAATCGTCAAGATAACACTTTGTTTTCTGCCTTTGAAGACAACGTGCAGCTGCTTACGACGACACAGAGGACGCCAGATTGGTTTTTACTGCGCAAGTTTCGGATAACGGGATCCGTTGCTGCGAAGATTTTCGAGGTGTCATTTCTCGGTATAGTGATGGTTCTGTTACAGATGACGCAATGATTGATCCTGTCAGTGATCCAGACGTGCAAACGATCATTCTTTTGCTTTCGCTGCAACAATCAAGTCAACAATCGCGTGCAACTTTGGTGGAGCAGCCATTTCCAAGGGATGAACTCACAAAAAAGAAGTGCGCAGAACTGAAGAGCTTGTGTCGCGACGCCCTGCTTCCAGTTTCCGGAAGGAAATCGCATTTAATAGATCGTCTGCTTGGCGCTTCCCCTGCTGATGAGCCTGAAAATGACGGATCGATTGAACATGCGAGGTTCATCATTGATCAGACGCTGTTGTCAGCTTGGTTTATGGCGCCATTTCCAACTCAAGATACGAAGATTGGTTCTTCCAACGAAGCCAATATCGCTGAGTACGTCACATTTTTTCTTGACATGCACTCCCCGTATCATGTTGAGGGGCTAAAAGCGTACAGACTGCTGTGCAGGTACGGCAAGCAGCATTTTCTAGCAAGCTTGACTAAATTCTAACAGATACACGCAGGAGAGGTATGCCAGTAGCTGCGTTCTCCCCAGATAATGTGGCTTCGGTTCTGAATATTCAACGTGGACGATGTCATGCCATCATGGAATACAAAACCCGAACAATAGCACGCACAGTGCTAAGCGAACAAGCACTAGCGGCTTCGTGGGGAGGTTTTACGACAGTAGATGTGAGCGCTATGGGCTTTGGTGGAAGACTATGCGATGTGGCTCCAGAGGCAAGTCATCGTCTGCAACTTCTGCACGACATATCCTGCTGTGGTGTACAAGACGAATTTCTTGTGTACGCCTCTTCGACGACAATCGTTCGTGTTGTACTCGTTGTAGTCGAGCCTCGAGTCGCTTGGACGTATCAAGCCGCTTTAGAAGCGATTCAAAAGGGGTATTCTACTTGGATTTATGGTGAAAATGGCACCGTTCCCCAGTTTAATTCTGCTCAGCTAGGACACTGCATCGACCAGGCAACACTAGAGTAAACCCTGATGCTTTGGAAGGCACTGGTCAAGTTGATCAACGACAGAGGCCATCCACTGCCTCCCGCAAAGCACATCATACCGACACTCATTGCACTTTGGAATCGAGTCAAAGGTGGCATCGATGTGTATTCGCGTTATTTAAAAAACGTAAAGTCGAAGCACTATCGGTTGTCTCCAACCGCAACCGTAGGGCTTCGTATGCTGATGTCGTTGGTGTACAACGCTCACCAGACCTACAGGTGTGTAATACATCAGTATGAATTTTGTGTTCTGGCTAACGTGTTTCTACACCTTTGCCAGGCCAAGATGGTGCTAAACCGGATTTTTTTAAAAAAGTGAAAACAAAAATTTGATTACGAAAAAGTAGCACTAAAAAGGAAATTCAAAGTGGCGAAAACGCAGAGCAAAGTGGTCCCCTCAGGCTGAGCTGCAGCTAGGTGCCGTACTGCATGTCTTCCATGCGCTCCGCGGCAGCAACGGGAATGCTGGCAATGCAGTGTCAACCTGTTAGCAAGGTGCGTGTCGATATATTCCGATGCGGCGTCTCGCCGCGCGTTCCCAGTTTCTCCATCCGAGCAGCCGCAACCGTCCCGCGAGGATGCTCCACAACCAGCCCTTTACGGGGCAAGGCAAGGTCGGCCTTGATCTTGGCCTTAAAAGCACTAATACACCCTGTAGCACCAGTTCAAAAGTCGGTTAGTATGCCATTTAAAAAAATATTGTAATACAGTATACTGCGTACCTTGAATGGGGTTACATATTGAAGAGTACGGAGCCAGCCGTACAAGTACCAAGTCGGCTCGTTCAGCGACGTGTGCTTCCGTTTGCTTCCACAAATCGACGTGATGTGGTGGCGGGGATTCCGTTGTGGGCGGCCACAAGCGTCCAGTCACCGCCGACACGGAGGCAGTCGAGGACACGAGCTCTGGCAAATGCGAGGTGCGGGGCTCTGGGCATCTTTGGGTAGGTAGAGGCTTGGCTTGGTTGAGGGCTTGGTAAAAGATTGATAAGAGAGAGCGAGGAATGGCAATGAAGTGCTCGCGCACACGCTCAGGAGGGTTGATCCGCTTTGAACTGCGAATAAACCACTTTGAAGTACGGAGTGCGTTTACTCGACATATTTGTGAAGTGACATAAACTCTAATGTAAAAATTGAGAATAATTTTTAAAAAGGTTTAGTTACTTCACCACTTTGAAGTGGAGTAGCACCATCTTGACCTGGCAAAGGTCTCATTCCTTTTTGACGAAAAGGACGCTTTGTACTACTTACAAGGCGTATCAAAAACATAAACAGAATCTTCCAAGTTTTGCTGCATTCTGTCGTGAAGCTGCTGTGGCACTCTCTCAAAGACCCAAAGCAGCACGGCCACTCAGCACAGTCGACGGAAATACTCGTCAAACGAGCACATCCGAGTTAAACAGCACATTTGCCTACAAGAAGCGTGTGCATTTTGAGACAGAGAAGGAGTGGATCGACTTGAGGCTTTTCAAAACAGAGGCACATATCGCGGTAAGCATTCGTTAAAGTCAAAATAATACGTGTGTTCTAACGGGTGGAGCGCATCTGTAGACACGTATTGAAGGTGCATTGCAGCGGAGCTGCATTCTTTGCTGTCGACATAACCACGACATTGAAAATCAAGGCCACAGCCGCCTAGGATTCAAGACCAGCTTTGAGTGCAACGTATGCAAGGTGTTGCTGTGCCGGACAAAACGCTGGGATAACGATCAGTCGTGTTTCGATAAGTTTCACGCTGACAGAAAGCTACCAAATCCTTGCAAAGCTTTTGATCGGCTGACATCAACCTGACATCAAAGCTGACATCAACCAAGAAGAATGAAAATCGAGCTCCACCACATCTTCGAAGCAGATCCACATCACTAGATATCCCTAGTGCACGAGCTCCAAGTGTTTGTCTTACCAACAAGAAGCGCCGGAGATCACTTCGTCTACAAGAAGGAGGCAGTTCCTCTATCCGGCTGTGAGTTTTTTATCCTAAACTTTAGGATAAATCCACACAAAGCCGCTGTGCGGCATACACGATTTCGACGAAGACCCCTCCGAAGATGTTAGGAGGTCTAAAAGCAGCTTCGTAGGTCCACATACAGAGGAAATGACGATCTTTCATTTAGCATAAATCAAACTTTGAACGTCCTCGTGGACACTTTACACCGGGCTCTCAGATATTGATCCTTATTTTTAT